GAGGACGCCACACTCTGGGTGGAGTGGGCGGTCACACCAAGGGGGCACGGTCGACCTTGCTGCTGGTATGCCAAAGCAATGGCGTCCACTATCCAGAGGGATAACCTTTGCTTGGAGAGAGCCTTTCCCTTCAGCTTCCCACCATAACAGACAAAGAGCTGGTCTGAGGTCCTGAAACACTGCGTCCTGTCTACGTAAGCACGGAGGGCGCGTACTGGACAGAGCAGTGCCAAGGCTGGGTCTGCCTCCTCCAGGGGCAGTGCTTGCAGGTCCACCACCTGGTCCCGGAAGGGAGTGGTGGGAACCTTGGGCACATATCCAGGCCGGGGTCTCAGGATCACGTGAGAGCACGCCGGCCCGAATTCCAGGCACGCTTCGTCAACGGAGAGTGCGTGCAGATCCCCCACCCTCTTGATGGAGGCCAGTGCAACCAGGAGCGCTGTCTTCATTGACAGGAACTTAATCTCCACTGATTGCAGAGGTTCAAAGGGAGCCCTCTGCAGGGCATATAAGACCACTGAGAGGTCCCAAGAGGGTACGAGAGGAGGGCGAGGAGGATTCAGTCTCCTCGCTCCTCTCAGGAACCTGATGATCAGGTCGTGCTTTCCCAGAGACTTACCTTCAACTGCATCGTGATAAGCGGCGATAGCGGCCACATACACCTTCAGGGTGGAGGGAGACAGCCTTCGCTCCAGCCCGTCTTGCAGAAAGGAAAGCACGACACCGATCGAGCATCTCCTGGGGTCTTCTCGCCGAGAAGAGCACCAGTTGACGAAGAGGTTCCACTTCAACGCGTAGACGTGTCTCGTGGACAACGCTCTAGCGGAAGTGATGGTAGCCGCCACCGCAGGTGGCAGGGTACTCAAACCTGCCTCGTCCCGTCCAGGAGCCACACGTGGAGTCTCCAAAGATCGGGACGAGGGTGCCATAGGGTGCCCCGTCTCTGAGAAAGGAGGTCCTTCCTCAGAGGAATTGGCCAAGGAGGTGCTGTCGCGAGGAGTATCAGTTCGGAGAACCAGGTCTTGGTGGGCCAGTATGGGGCGACCAATATGACCTGCTCCTCGTCCTCCTTGATCTTGCACAGAGTCCGTGCGAGAAGGCTCACTGGGGGAAACGCATATTTGCGTAGGCCCTGCGGCCAGCTGTGCGCCAGTGCGTCCGTGCCGAGCGTGCCCTCGGACAGGGAGTAATACAGGGCGCAATGGGATGAGTCGTGGGAGGCAAACAGATATATCTGTGCGTCCCCGAACTGGTCCCATATCAGCTGGACCGACTGGGGATGGAGTCGCCATTCGCCAGAGGTTGGCCGGAGCCGTGACAGCTCGTCGGTTGCAAGGTTCCGCTCTCCTGGAATGTAAATAGCACGAAGGGACCTCAGGTGCTTCTGACTCCATAAGAGGAGGTGGCGTGCGAGTTGCGACATACGGCGAGAGCGTAGACCACCCTGATGGTTGATGTAGACTACTGTCGCGGTATTGTCCGAACGGACAAGTACGTGTTGACCCTGGAGCAGCGCGTGGAAGCGGTGCAGGGCAAGGCGTACTGCCAGCAACTCGAGGCAATTGACATGCATGAGGCGCTGGGGTCCTGTCCAGGAGCCCGCGGCTGCATGTCCATTGCACATGGCGCCCCAGCCCGTGGCAGAGGCATCTGTGGAGACAACAACATGCCTGGAAACTCGTTCTAGGGGAACTCCGGCTCGTAGAAAGCTGAGGTTCCGCCACGGGGTGAAGGACTGACGGCAGGTCGGAGTTATTGGAACTCTGAGCGTACCGCGATGCCATGCCCACCTCGGGACCCGATCGCGAAGCCACAGCTGAAGCGGTCTCATATGAAGCAATCCGAGTGGCGTTGCCGCGGCTGCGGATTCCATATGCCCCAGGAGCCTCTGAAAAAGTTTCAGTGGGACCGCACTCTTGCCCTCGAACTGTCGAAGACAAGTCAGCAGTGTAAGCTGACTCGCTCGTAAGCTGCGCGGACATGGCGACCGAGTCTATCTCCATACCGAGAAAAGAGATCCTCTGCACGGGGCAAAGTTTGCTCTTCTCCCAGTTGACCCGAAGGCCCAGACGGGCTAGGTGCCGGAGCACTAGGTCTCTGTGTTCGCAAACCTGGACTCGAGAGTGAGCTAATATTAGCCAGTCGTCGAGGTAATTCAGGATGCGAACCCCGTGTTCGCACAGGGGAACAAGGGCTGCCTCGACGACCTTCGTAAAAACGCGAGGAGACAGAGCCAACCCGAATGGGAGAACTGCGTACTGGTATGCCTGCCCCTCGAAAGCAAACCGAAGAAACGGTCTGTGTCAAGGTAAAATGGAGACATGAAAGTAGGCGTCCTTCAGGTCTATCGCTGCAAACCAATCCTGTGGCCGCACGCATTCGAAAATGCGTTTGGTCGTGAGCATCCTGAACGGCAGCCTGTGAAGGGAGCGGCTCAAGACGCGCAGATCCAGGATTAGCCGTAGCCCACCGGTCTTCTTGGGGACAATGAAGTACGGGCTGTAAAACCCTGACCTCATTTCGGCTGGAGGGACAGTCTCGATTGCACCCTTCGCCAGCAGGGTGGCAACCTCCGCTCTCATGATCGGGGCATTGCCAGCGACCAAAGTAACGGAGCGGGCCGGCGAACTCACCTGGGACCACGCAGCTTGCAATGTGAAAGACGGGGTGTGAACCGAGGAATTTTTCGTCGGTTTAGTTCCAAACCTGCCGTCTTAGGTCACCCTGGCCACCAGCCGAAATATTATCTCACGTGGAGAAAAATAGATCGGGGTGTGGATGAGGGGACTCTCACTCATTGAGCTCATCGAGTCTCGACCGTTACATTGCGATGGTCACGTTCCCAGTGAGAGAACGTGACACACCCACGAGCGCTGTCTAAACGCGATCAAAGCCCAAAGACTCAAAACAGCGCTCGCGCCCATCAGCTGAATCTATCAGAATACCACACTCAGAAAAAAAAACACGGGCAGATCGTCTTTAGAAAGACGCGTCTTTAAAAAGACGTGCCGCGTGCAGCTCTTTAGTGAGAGGAAAAACTCCGCGGATGTTGAAGCGACCAGGGAGAACATACAGACTGGCAAACCACTGCTCAGCTCGCAGGCAATGTGAAACTCGCTGGATACCGCCGTCACACCAACACCGGAGAGTTCGCTCGTCTCGAAGAGATGTAGTCACTGAGAAAACTCAGGATTTGGCTTGTGGAGTGAAGAGATGCTCTTGGCTCCGAAGCGAAAACATGATTTGCTGTTGCAGGTGTCTCTCTTTAAATACCCACGCGGTGGGGCGGAGATACATTATGCAAATTCCGCAGACCCATGGCATTTCATTGCCATAGGCTCGTTTTTTAATACTCGAAGATGATAGGCTTTCTGGCGAAACCCCCATTCTCCGTCATCCGACGTAACTCGGAGTGACTACGAAAGGGAACTATAGTTCTTTTCTCTCCATATAAATGTAATAATGTCTGTAGATTACAGTAGTTTTAGGCTGAAAAGTCCAAACTATAGAGAGATTAAAACATGATTTATTATAGTCAGAGGTCACGATTCTTCTGCTTTTATTGTGACACTGCAAGACAAAACATAAGATCCAGAATTTTTTTTTTTTTAAAAACTGTGTTTATTTATTAAAAAAGTAAACAAACATAAAATATGAAATATTGCAGCAATACAAATCAGGAGACTTACAGTAAAATAAGGAAAAGTACAAATGACAGTGTGTTCGTGTGGTTATAATGCGAAACATGCAAATATCACACAAGCCTTATGTAAAGAATTGCAATGTATTACATAAAGTATTAAAAATATTAAACTTTCACTTATAAAGAAATATTGAAAAGCTACTGAAATGTGCTGATAAATAGCAGTAATGTAAGCTAATTTATGAAAAATTTTATAAACAGACAGTCACTGTCTTGTCAGGCTTAATTTAAAAAAAAAAGAAGCTAAATATATATAGTAGAAGAGGAAAATAAGTTGCCCAATGGGATTGTGGGAAGTAAACAGTGAGTGGGACGGGATGTTCTGATACTAAAGCTTATTGTATGTCTGGTCTATATTAACAATAATATTTTATTGGTCAAAAACAGCAAAAAAACAAACATGTTAACAGGATAACATCGACCTTGTTAAAAGTCAATATGAAACCACAATTTACCCTTTCACACACAGACACACACACACACACACACACACACACACACACACACACACACACACACACACACACACACACACACACACACACACACACACACACACACACACACACACACACACACACACACACACACACACACACACACACACACACACACACACACACACACACACACACACAGCAATAATAAAGGGGATTAATTCCTGCATTTAAATGTTGTCACTCCCTAAACATGACTTTTACAGTAATAATGCTCTGCCTGAGCTTGTGAATTAAATATTAAGAGATTATATTGGAGATGGAGAAGTTTTCTGACCATAACAACAAATGACTGTATTAAAGTTTCATCCTCTTCATGAAACTGTTACTGTAAAAACACCCATAAACAATCGCAGCATTTACTCCTTTTTCTTGCCTTTAAATATATTCAATGTAACCAATTTTGATAGTTCAGTTTTTGTAAAGCAGATTTCACAACAGTGTTTTTAAAGCAACCTTACAAAGATCAAACCCTCAGTGAGCAAAGCCAAATGTGACATCACACAATAATATTAATGATTATTTTGACTGATTTATTGGTCAGATAAAATGAATGATAATAATGTCTTCTAATAAATCACTCAGGTGTTTTTCCTCTCATTCTGCAGCATTTGTAAATCAGCACGACTGTCACTATCAGATATGGACAAGCTGCCAGAGCAGAACTGAGTGTGTGGAGGACAGAGATCTGAGAGTCTGAAGGAGACCCTGAAAAAGAGACACACAAACACTTTATCATGCACTATTTCTGAACGAGGGCAAATGAAGAAATAAATCAGCTCAGTTTCATTGACTCTCACCTCTGACTGAGATCCAGCTTTTGGGAGACTCTCCTCTCTCTGGGTGTTTGCAGTAGTAGAAACCCTCATGTGACTTTGAGACAGTCGGGATGATAATCTCTGTAGTTTGTTTCTGGACGAGTGATCCAACTTTATAGAAATCAGCTCTGATGCTTGATAGGGTTGTATCTTTATATAAACAGCGTAGATTCAGATTACCTCCTTCAGTCACAGGATGAACAGGACTCTCCAGAATCACACCAACTACAGAAACACAGGAGACATGTAATATATGAACAAAATCGCAACATAATAGCAACATAGTATCTGATGCTTCCTGCACTTGTTTAACCAACCATGCATTGAGTATAAACTAACAGTGAATAAATAAATACATAAACACACTCACTGTGTACAGTGATATTAACAAGATGATATTTCTCTCCAGATTCAGACTGACACCAGTAAACTCCAGTGTCTGGTGTGATGGTGGAGCTGATTGTACATGTAGATCCTGTTTGTGATCCCCGGCGTAATGATGAACAATTTTCCAGCCGCCCGCTGTCTGTGTATCTTCTCACTGTCCATCCATCAGAGTTACTCTGGTCTTCACAGCTCAGAGAGAGAGAGTCAGAGCTGAAGTGTTGAGTTCTGCTGGGACTGATGATCAGAGACACTGGAGGAGAAACACCTGACAAGACAATTACAGCTATCATTAGGAAATTGTCTTTATTTAATATGAATCAATCAATCATTTAAACTATGTGTGAACTCACCAGTGACCCACAGTGGTTGTGTGTTGCTGTATGTTGTTTTTACGGCAGTTTTATCTCTCTCTGCTCCGCACACATAAACTCCAGTGTGATTTAGATCAGCAGAACTGACAGTGTATTTTCCTCCAGCTCCTCTGCTGCTGTCTGAGAGGAGCTCATAATCATTCCTGCTCCCTGTATAAAGTGAGAATGTGTAGAATTCACTTAAGGAACTACTATCTGATCTAGTCCGTATAAATTACATAACAAAACTTAATCCTGAATACACTGGTTCACATTGTTGTAACCCATATTACCCATTGTGTTTAGATTGTTTTATTCAGGGTTTGTTCAATGGCTCTTATGTTGTTAAAGAGGAGTGACTGGTAATGAGGGATTGGGTTCTCAAAGTAGGTTTCACTGCTTGGTGCCCATGGAAGTGTTGCCCCTTAATACAGTCTCTGTCTGGTTTCAGACATATTAAATTATATATTTCACTTCAATATAACCAGTTAATTCAGATGAAGCACATTATAACGGACCTGAGACAGTGAACCAGCTGAATGTCCAGCCTGTAGAGGAGCCGTTGACCTCACAGATCAGAGTCACTGGATCTCCTTCAGTCAACCACTTCTGCGGAGAAACACTTAAAACTGCTTTGGGATCTGAAATAGAGACATCGCTCATTAATAACTTGTTAAACGTGTGTGTGTTTATGAAGAGATGATCAATCTCACCTGATACTGTCAGTGTAACTTCATCACTGTGTTTTGATATGTGTGATCCTTCAGTCTCTGTCCCATTACAGGAGTATTTTCCTGCGTCAGACTCAAAAACACTGAATGTGTGTTCCTGTCGTCCACTGAAAACACTGGTTGAACCGTCTTTATACCAGTTGTACCGCCAGCTAGTGACTCCTTCATCATATATGTCACATCTGAGAGTGACTGAGTCTCCTCTGAATACATGATGATCAGGTTTAATGCTCACTCTGGGTTTTGGTCTTTCTGTATAATGACAACAATAAACAATAAAAATAATGTGATAAAATAATAAATAAAAACAATAAATTGTGCTGTTTTAGTGTGTGAACAATATTGTAAAACACAGAAGCAGAAGATCTCGTCCTCTTATAGTTCAATCCACTGTGCCTGTAACGGATAACCGGCTGGAGTGCTCTTGAGAGCCACCAGAGGACACTCCACGTCAGAATATTCTCATTCCCTCACAAACTACATCTCCCATTATTCTCTGCCTGGACTTATCAGTGCTCATTGCTTTCAGCTGTGTCTTATTACTTTGTTTAACTCACACGATAATAGTCTGTTTTTTTTACATTCAGCTAAGTCTTGTTTAGTGTTACACTGCAATCCCGAGCATTCTCTCTGGTTTCATGTCTTGGTTTTTGGATTTCTTGCCTTTTCCGTGGATTACTTTTTTGCCCGTGTTCCCTGCCTTGTTGTGTTAGTTTGTATGGACTGCCTGCCTGTGTTTCACCCTGCCTGTACTTTGGATTAGTCTTTGGATTACCCTGTTCAATAAATACTGCATTTGGATTCACAACCTTTGTGTCTCAGAGCAGTTCGTAACACAGTCCCGAAGTGCAGCAGTTTACATGAAAAAGGGTTGCAGAGATACATTACATTATGATCACTTTGTTAGGGTGTAATATGATGATTATGGTTAAATTGAAAACTGATAATGCTGAAAATGAAAAATCCAAGCAATAACTTTTGAGAAGCTTGGTATAACAATCAAATGAACCAATTTTGTCAACAAAAAAAAAAAAAAAAAAAAAAAAGGAGAAAAGAAAAAAGTTAGTACATTTTACAATATTTGACTATTGAGATTTCGGAAATTTAAATAATCTTTTTCAATTTGAGATCAGGATAAGTATCTTGTTGTTTTTTTTTAGTTCAAAGGGTTCAAATTTATAAGTGTGGCCCTGTTTTTTTTTTTTTTTTTTTTTTATTGCTTTAAACAACAAAACGATACAACATACACTTTAAAGCCAGGGGAGCAAAGACCACACACATACAAAAATTATCTTTTTTTTTTTTTAAATCACAAAAATACAAGACATTTGTAGCAATCAAAGATTTTGAAGACAGTACACAAACGAACAGTCTTAATAGCTTTTCCATTAGTACTAGCTTGGAAAACATAGACACCTCATACCATAATTTTTTCACATGACTATGCCAGAAAATATGGGGTACTGTTTCCAAGTGCAAAGAGCAACTTACATCAATGTCTTTCTTAAACTTACTAAAGAAATGTTTGACAGGGTAGAATTTGTGCAATATCTTCAAAGAGATTTCTTTGACCTTGTTTGTAACAAAAAACGTCTCAGGTTACAAATGTAACCTTTGTTCCCTGAGAACAGGGAACGAGACAATACGTCATCGACGTTATGGGGAACGCCTCAGGCGTGACAGGTGTCTGAAATCACTATCAAATCACGTCAATCACATTGACCGGCGACAGCCCGTGAATCATTAGCGTGAATGATTAACGTGCGACCTGGAAGTATATAAGGGCGCCTTGCAAACATGACAAATCACCTTATCGTCTGAAGGGACTGTACGGCAGGCAAGCCCCGAGGCATGGCAGGGAGACGTATTGTCTCGTTCCCTGTTCTCAGGGAACAAAGGTTACATTTGTAACCTGAGACGTTCCCTTTCGAAGGGAACTCAACAATACGTCATCGACGTTATGGGGAACGATATACCCACGCCGCCATGCTGAGGGGAGTGCATGCCCTCAGGCAGTGACAACTGTCAGAACCAGCAATTTCAAATGAAACGCTAGAACCACTCACCGTCAGGTCATACTGGGCTGTCAGTGACAGCATTCCCTACGGTCATAGCCTAAGCTATAAGCCTCACAGGAAACCTCCATAAACATAGTTAAATGAAAGCCTACCTGGGCCTGCTCAAAGGCCTAGGACCACAACTTCAATTAGAAGGGGCCCCTTCTAGGGAATGTGGCTAGGGAATCCGAAGGAACCCCAGCCAGTCACTATTCAGGGGAACGTACTCACCCCGATATGCCACCAGGACGGCCTGACCTGGCGTCAGATACATAGACACTTAGTCTGGCCACTTCCTGTCTGTCCGAAGACAGAGCCTCTGGAAAAAAACCTTAAGTAAGGCATCCAACCCGAGGGACTGCGACGCTGGCAGTGAACCACTCGGCCCGGATCTCAGAGACGGGATATCCCGGAGAGTATGACTCAGCATAGTGCTTTATGACCCTTGCTAGCGAGGGGAGTTTCTCTACTCGATCCATGGATCAACCCAGTGTTTGCAAACACTGAGGAGGCCTGTGAAGGCCTAATGGCTGATCTAACCGGGAGGCCTCACGAGAGGCCTACGACCGTCTGACCAGACTCAGGAAGCCGCATGCTCATAGAGACCCTCAGTGAGGGGAGCACAAGGTCTGCCTGGTAGGCAAACCAGGCTGTAGGCAGGAAAGGTTCGAACAAATAGCAGAGAATAAACACTTTAGCGAGCCAGGGCGCAAGCTCGCCCTCAGCAGCTGCCTATTAAGGCTAGCTGAAACTGATAGCAAGAGGCCACTAGCTTCATAAACCCAGCACCATTAGAGAAACATTACAGGGTGCTACCTGATAACCCCAGTATGTGGGGTGCTCCACCTTTAGGGAGGCCCGGAGAGGCCTACTACCTGATAACCACAGGATGTGGGGAGCTCACCTTCAGGGAGGCCTGGTGAGGCCTGCTACCTTACAACCACAGTATGTGGGGAGCTCACCTTCAGGGAGGCCTGGTGAGGCCTGCTACCTTACAACCACAGTATGTGGGGAGCTCACCTTCAGGGAGGCCTGGTGAGGCCTACTACCTGATTACTACAGTCTGTGGGAACTCACCTTCAGGGAGGCCTGGTAAGGCCTACTACCTGATAGCAACAGTATGTGGTCACCCACAGGGAGGCCTAGAGAGGCCTACTACCTGATAACCACAGTATGTGGGGAGCTCACCTTCAGGGAGGCCCGGTGAGGCCTGCTACCTTACAACCACAGTATGTGGGGAGCTCACCTTCAGGGAGGCCTGGTGAGGCCTACTACCTGATTGCTACAGTCTGTGGGAACTCACCTTCAGGGAGGCCTGGTAAGGCCTACTACCTGATAGCAACAGTATGTGGTCACCCACAGGGAGGCCTAGAGAGGCCTGCTACCTTACAACCACAGTATGTGGGGAGCTCACCTTCAGGGAGGCCTGGTGAGGCCTACTACCTGATTGCTACAGTCTGTGGGAACTCACCTTCAGGGAGGCCTGGTAAGGCCTACTACCTGATAGCAACAGTATGTGGTCACCTACAGGGAGGCCTAGAGAGGCCTACTACCTGATAGCGATAGTACGTGGGGAACTCACCCTCAGGGAGGCCTGGTGAGGCCTGCTACCTGATAATCACAGCATGTGGGAACTCGTTTTCAGGGAGGCCTAGTGAGGCCTACTACCTGACAGCCATAATATCTGGGAGCTTTTTTCTGCTACCCGATAGTAAGCCAGGCTAGCTGTCCAGTTGCCCGTCCTTGGGCTTGTCTCTTCAGGGAGGCCTGGTGAGGCCTACTACCTGATAACCATCTTAAGTGGGAATTCACCTTCAGGGAGGCCTGAGGGGCCTACCACCTGATAGCAACTGGTAGCTGAGTCCGGGTGACAGTTCCAAGGTGGCCTGCTAAGGCCAGCCAGCTGGGGACTCGCCTATCAGGGAGGCCTGGTTGGGCCTACTAGCTGACAGCAAGTCAATTCTGCTACAAAGGAACACTGTTGGGAACCATACCACACCAATGGAACTATTGGGCCCACCTACAGGAGGCCTAGTACGGCTAGCTACCTGTAGCAGCTATAAAGTATGTCCCACAATGTTGGGACTCGCCTCAGAGGAAGCCTGTTTAAGGCCTACTACCCACCGGTGAGTCAACTGCCCGAACCACCAAAGCCAACCATTTCTCTCGAGAAGTGGCCTACAGCGCCCTATTGGGGGCTGCCCATACAAGGAGGCCTGCTGAGGCCTACTACCTGATGGCGCAGCCTTCGTTGGCAGATAAGCTGTTTACACAGCGCCTACAGCATCCTGGTGCCTAATCACATTGCCCACGGCAGTGTACTCAGCTAGAGTAGCTTAGCACCTGTAGCAACATTGAGAATGTACCAAACACAATTGAAGCTTTCAGACATAACCAAACACAAGATGCTGCATATTCCAGATTATCCCCAGGCACTGGAGCTAAGAGACCCTTTTGTTGCTTAACTAAAGGGAGAACGTTGTCAATGTTTTATAATTTGGCAAGAACAGATCTGTTCAGAAATGGTGAAACAAGAAGCCTTTCTTTAAGGACCAAGGTCTCATGATATGCGAACTAAACTCTCACGTGGTACACACCACGGATGTGACAGATGCGGACCATAAGGATACCCACACACACACACACATAAGGACTTTCTTACATATCAAAATCCATAAAACTCATCCCAGAACAATTCCTGACTGACCCATAATCAAAATGATATAACATAACATAATTATATATTGTGTTTTACAACCCCTGTATGGGACTATTCTGCTTAGATCACATCTAAGTCATGTAATTGTTATGCTATGAGATGCTGGAATGAAAGTGTCGTGTTTCCTATCATTATGCTCATATATTATTAATTCAGAAGGTGGCTTGATTGAAATCTGTGTAAAAATGTTTATGTTCTTATAATAGTAATAATGTCTAAACTGTCGCCTCTTGTTCTCTCTGCTAAGGCCTGCAGAACAATGAGACCACAGAGAACACATGATTCGCGATGAGAGAAGGGGGGGGGGGGGGGGGGGGGGGTAGAATAGACCCCTCTCAAATAACCATATAGTATCTTATTGTCCGAATTCCAAATTCCTCCAGGAGGCGGGACAAAACATTGGACTTTAAAACCTTAGACCCGAACACAGAAACTCTCGCTCTCTCTGAACGCTCTTGTGATCCTCTCTCTTGTGA